TACGTTCACACAAGCATTGCACATCTATATATGGAAGCCCGGCAGTCCAGTGCAAGTGTCTCAGCTATTCTGGCTTCCGTAAGCTAGCGTTTGCTTCCTGGCAGCGAGTCTGCCTGTTGCTGGATTAATTCCTTGCAAAGAGTATACTTCGAGAGTTCTTGTAGAAAGCTTGAAGAGTGCCCGACGGGAAGCATGCTTAGAAGCGACGGCGTAATGCATCCCGCACTGCCGCCTTAAGCATTTTTTTGTTCGGGGGGAAACGCCTGCCGCCTGGGGAAGTCAGTCTGCTGTAGCTTTTCGGCGAGTGACGGTGAGAACAGAAACCTTTTGCAGCAGAACAAGCTGCTTGGGCACAGGCTAGCCTCAAGATATAGCTCCTGCTGAACATGTTCCAGGCGTGATTTTGAAACTGATTTCGAATACGAAGTGCCTAGCTCAGAGCGGTTGTTGCTAGTTGCGGACTGGACGTACTCAGATTTGAAGTTTTCTCGAAGTGACCAAGAACTGGCCTTTGGCGTCTCCCAGGCGAGGTGCCCCCCCCTCCCGCTCCCTCCCCCCAGGAAAGAGGGTTGGCCCCGACCCTCTCCAAGAGTGGATTATGGTGGAAATCTAGAAAATTCCTACTTTTTCTTATTTTTTCCTACTTTTGCCATACTTTTTCCTATTTTCCTACTTTTTCTCTACTTTTTCTCTACTTCACGAGGAAAGTAGGAGAAAAGTAGGGAAACGGTGGGCCACGCCTGCTGCCTTGCCCTGCCCCTGCCCTGCCCCTGCCCCTCCCCTGCCCTTGCCCCCAGGCCCAACACACCAAAACAATAGGTTCACGGTTGTGAACCTATTGTTTTGGGGGGGAGGGGGAGGGGGGCAGGGGGAGGGGGGGAGGGGGGAGAGGGGGATAGAAGTCCAGGAATTGGAATGAAGTAGGTGGAAAGTAGAGGAAAAGTAGGAAAAAATAGGCTGGGAGTAGATAAAAAATAGAGGCAGGTAAGAGGGGGGGGAGGGGGTGAAAGCCATGGAGGCAGACGAAAAGGTCCAGGGATGATTTCTTCCAAGCTCTGAGCGCCGCACCATGCGTGCATCCTGGTAATGAACGCCTCACTGCCGGAGTCCATATGTCTCGATCATCAACAAGCCCTTCACTAAGAGAGCAATCGCTCACCCGCCATCACAAGGCTTCTAGCTGAAAGATGTCACTTGCTTTAGAAATAACGACCCTAGCCCTTTTGTGGGCTAAGACCTGTCGCCGTGCCGCATCCATTCGCAAACACACTTCCAACTGTCTTTGGCTTGTGCCACCTTCCACGCTGCTCCCCACATGTCTTCCCAGTGTATATACTGCATGAACGTCCCTACAGCACTTGAGCATGATTTAGTCGTGGCATATGTTTACTGTGGTGTTGCTTACTTGTTGGGCATTGTTGGGGGCAGCTGTGTGCACGGCAGCTGCAGCGCTGCCACCTGTCACATTTCCCCGTCTTGACATTTTGTGATGGATCGGCTTCACCATGCGGACCCCCGCCACTGTGTCAAGCCTCAGTACAACAGCTCTCGAGCTCTTTTGTCCTTCGACGGCGTATCGACAAGGGACCTGAGCATCGATTCTCACCGTACTCAAACAAAGCATCAACCAGAGATTGCGAAAATGAAGTTGTGCTCGCGCATCTGTCCAGTCCCAACAGCACGTCAGAGATGCCGGAGAATCCTTTAGGAAAGCATCAAATTAGCAGCCTATTTATTTCCCATTCACAGGCTACTTATTTCCTATCTAGGCAAACCCTGGAAACCTACTTAAATCCTATTTTTTCTCTAAAAATAATTATTGGCTAGATTGTGTGTGTGGCTGGACACCCCACGTCATAAACATAGATGATGAGAGAAGTGCAGTAGTCGAGAAGTGTGATAGTGGGCTGTCGGTCGGAGGCATCGAGATCTCGGTTTACCTTTCAGGAGAAGTTTCTGTGAAGGGGGCGAGGGAGTTTTCAAAAAGCTCACGAAGTATATGCATCACAAGGCCGGAATTCCCCGCAGTTCTGCCCCAGGTACTCCCTGCTGGCGCCGGCCTGATGGAACGCCTGCTCTCGCTCAGGTGCCGAACGTAGGCGTAGAATCTGCGCAGATCAGAGTAAAGTCAAAATTGAGAAGGGTGTAGGAACATTGCGGTCTGCATCAGCGTCGGGGAAGGGGCGAGTCACGGAGGGTCCTGTCGTCGGAGCTGCTTCCGTCCTGTCAGGTGCACCTGAAGTTTGACACGGATTCGACAGCACAACCTGCCAACAGGGCATAACGTGCTCTCACGCACTCGTGCAATGTTGTCCATGTGTCAGATGCTTGGAATTCAAAAAGCTTGGTGAGGATTGAAAAACGATGTGCGCCTGGTTCGCGCAGGGATGAAGCAGGGCGGGGCAGCATTTGCTGAACAACTACAGAGCTTTAAGTGCGGGAAGCCTCCGTCCGAGAGTTCTGCGGATCCCGCGGCCCTTTCGGGTTGCATGTGGCAGCATGTCGTGGAGCTTTTCCCAGGGCTCTTTGCCGTTGCTGAGCAATGTGCTCTGTGCTTTCACTTGCAGGTGGTGTGCCGATGGCGAGGATCTCCCTCTCCTGCCTTTGGCTTCGGTTGAACGGCAGAAAGGCTGGTCTTTAACCTTCAAGTCGGTTCCGCTGCCTCTGCCCAAGGCAGGCTTTCAAGGTCACGCGACGACGGAGGAAGCCCATGGCAGCATCAAAGACGGGGTGCTGCAGCTGTAGGATCAGTTGACGCCTGCCATGGCATCCGCGTTCGGGAGTTCGCGAGACAGAGGGCCACAGGAGCACTGTTTTCCAGGACAGGTGTGCAGAACACGCATACGCTGAGCAGACGCAAGATCGTGCCCTGCAAGTCGTGCAACCCTGGATCCAGGGTTGCAAGCCTTCGAAGCAACGTCGTCTCTACTTGGCATGAGAGCGAAGTCGAAGATCTCAGCGCACAGGACTGGATGCTGCTGAGCCCGTGGTACGCAGCGTGCTGCACTCCGGGCAGTGCCCGGCTGCAGGGCGCCTTTGCAGAGACATTCGTGCGTTTCGTGGCTGTGCTGTTCATGAGCAGATTGGATTCTCTGTCCAGTCTCCAGGCAAATGCCTGGTTCAAGAAACTTGGTGGTCTTCGCTAAACGGCCCCAGGGCTTGAAGTGTGGGAAGCCTCCGTCCGAGAGTTCTGCGGATCCCGCGGCCCTTTCGGGTTGCATGTGGCAGCATGTCGTGGAGCTTTTCCCAGGGCTCTTTGCCGTTGCTGAGCAATGTGCTCTGTGCTTTCACTTGCAGGTGGTGTGCCGATGGCGAGGATCTCCCTCTCCTGCCTTTGGCTTCGGTTGAACGGCAGAAAGGCTGGTCTTTAACCTTCAAGTCGGTTCCGCTGCCTCTGCCCAAGGCAGGCTTTCAAGGTCACGCGACGACGGAGGAAGCCCATGGCAGCATCAAAGATGGGGTGCTGCAGCTGTAGGATCAGTTGACGCCTGCCATGGCATCCGCGTTCGGGAGTTCGCGAGACAGAGGGCCACAGGAGCACTGTTTTCCAGGACAGGTGTGCAGAACACGCATACACTGAGCAGACGCAAGATCGTGCCCTGCAAGTCGTGCAACCCTGGATCCAGGGTTGCAAGCCTTCGAAGCAACGTCGTCTCTACTTGGCATGAGAGTGAAGCCGGACGTCCCACTGCGCAGGACTGGGCACTGCTGAGCCCGTGGTAGGCAGCGTCCTGCACTCCGGGCAGTGCCGAGCTGCTTCGGGTGTTTCTCGCTGCGTTGCTCATGTGTGCTTCGCATGAGAGTCCGAACTGGCTGTCCGACACCCTTGTAGGTGAGCTCAGAGTAAGGCCACAGCACCTCCTGCAGTTTCCAAGGCGACCTGCCGGCACAGTTGGAGCCGCGGAGCCAGCCGAGGATTCTTGGCACCTGCAGGCCCAGGACTCGCAGTGCATCGTTGCCTGCTGCAGGCTCGCACTGCCTGGATGTGGAGTTCATGCAGATAGTCGAAGCTGCTGGGTGAACCAGTCGTGTCTTTCAGCAGAGAGTCGCAGAACCGAAGATTGCGTGGCTATATGAATCCTCGAAAGAGAAGCGCTTGCCTTGCGGCCTCATCAAGGTCTGCAGGGTCCTCGTGAAGCACTACCCTCGCGCACCGTGCCCTCTTTAAGGCTGGACGTGTGTCTCAACTGAAGGAATCCCGAACACTTGACACTGAAGCCACTAGTCAGGCCGGACCAATTGGATGTGCAAGTTAGGTTGTCACAGCTTCTGCCTGAAAGGCATTGCAGTTTGCAGGAGCCCGGGTGTGTTGCAAGAGAGGGCTTCTTCCTTCTCTTTCTCAGGGCTTCAGAGCCATGCAGCTTCGGTGCGACTCTGTGGCACTCGGGTCGGGCCGGGGCGGGCGTGATTCTCGCAGTGGGCTAGATGTGGTCCGGCCGAACGGTTGATCTTGTGCGGTCGGAGAGGCTTCTGTTACGCTCGGCGTCTTTTGCGGGTCCTACCAGAAAGGTGCGGTTTTGCAAGAAGCGAGCAGCCAAGGTGTCTCACGTAGCCTCCACCGTGGCAGCTTGAAGGCCTGGCCAAGATCTGCGTGGCCTGCTGCCCAGGTGTTTAGTCACGATGTTTCTCTTTCCTTCTCAACTTTCGCAACGTCACTTCCCTCCACCGCGCTGCCGTTCGGCTTCGCCTCCGCATCTTGGAGTAATTGGAGTGCGGCATCGAGTTGAGAAGGCTCAGCTGGTTCAGCTGCCAGGTACCATCGAGGAGCCCGGTTGAGTGGTAGCTGGTAGCTGTTTCCAGCCCAAGCACGCCCTGGGAGCCTTCTTGGTCTTCTGTGCCGTAGGTCCATAGGGTCCGGGAGAAATGTCCTCTTCCTGCCTTCGCCCCTGTCGCTTCGAGCCTTGGATGTTCCCGTGAGCAGAGGCTCCCAGTGTCCGCCGCCGCCGTAACATGCCGCTTCTGATACCGTTGGCGAGCAGGCCGCCGGGAGCCATCTGCACCTCGGCTTCCGGCCACACAGCCGACATCGACTGCTCTTCGATGCGAGGGGCTTCGATGTGCTTCTATGCCGGCCCGTGGCCGTGGGCGGACTGCATAGCCTTGAGCCTGAGTCTTCGAGCTCGCTGCCGCTCCTCCTGCACCTCCTGCACCTCCCGCAGACCCGCTGCGCAGCCTGACTGTGGCATAGGGAGCAGGTTCTTCGGCGTCGACTCCCGCAGCGTGTCCATGGAGCTCCAAGGCTAGATGACAGTTTGCACGAGGCACTCTTTATGGGCTCTAGGGGTTGGGACCTCAAGCAGATTGTTGAAATAGTCCAAGCATCTCACCGCTGTACCCTACTTCGCATCGAGCATCGGCAGATGTATCGGGGGGTTTGGATATCGCTGCTTCGCAATGTTCCGGACCCGTCTTCCTCGTTCCCTAGGCCTGTGGCCTGTGGCTGTGCAGGCTCAGCCCCACCAAACACACGCGAGAGATTGACCTGGCACGCTGACACGCTGTGATCGTGTCACGTTCGCCGAAAACCTTGAAGTTCGGGGATGCTTCGGGCCTCTGGGTCCCAGGATTTGATTGTGGGGTTCAGGGTTTGGCACGGAGGACGATAACAGGGGCACATCCTTCGCATGTGATCCTCCCTCGGATGCGATAGAAGGAGTCTAGAGTGGTGTGCGGTTGAAAGATTCTGATTGATGTTACCAGGATTCACGGGGCGTGCGAGGCCGGGCAGGATTCAGCCAGAGGTCGGTAATATGCCGAGCCTGACAATGGCATGTCTCCACGACTTCGCCTTGTCAGCAGAGCGGGCTGCAACCTCGGCATCTGAGGCTGCATGGGGGATCTTCCGTGCTCGTCCTGCCATGCCAGCGTGCGGCTAGCCTTAGATCTGAGGCGCAGGAGCCGTTTGTCGCCCTGGCAAGGTCTTGGTCAGGTTTGGCATGGAAGCTGCGGTTGCGGGTCGCACTTCGGTGCTTGCTGGCTGGCCTTACGAACCATGTCGCTGCTACGATACAAGTGCCAGTCGGTCAAGTCTCGGGCAGTACAGCTTTGCTGAGTTTTCCCTCAAAAAAATCGGTCAAGTCTCGCGACCCACGGCCCAAGCACGTCTTGTCGGTTGCAGCACCAGGATAGCCCCGCGGCCGACGGCACTTTAAGGGCGGTTGAGAGAGGTGCAGCGGGTGACACATGCCTCGTCCAGAGCACGCCGTGGGGCCTGGCCTACCACACAGAGGCGACTGCATGTGGGCGCTGGCACTCCGGGCGGCTTCTGGCATCTGTGAAGGGGGCCCTCCGTCTGCCAACCCAGAATTTCTTGTCCGAGCAGAGCGCAAAGCGCAGCAGACTGGACTGGCGAGGTCTGCTATGAGCGGATGCGGCCTGGCCGGTGTCGGGCCGTCGTGTGTTGTTGCTTTCGAAGTCCTTCGCCAACTCACATGGACCCTGTCACAGGAGGATGCCCCGACGGCATCTCCTTGAGATCGAATCGTCTTTCGTAGATCTGGTGGCCTTCCCCTCCTTCTGCTTCCGCAGTCTGAGTTCTGGCATGACGATGGGTGCAGGGCGCATCATGCTGGGAAATCCTTGGCCGTTGGTTGTGTCCTTGCCGTTACCTCTGTGGATCCTAGTCCCTGTCGGACGTGCTGGTGATGCATTTTGGCTTCGAAGAGGCCAGATGCTAGGTTTGCAAGTGAGCCGGCACCTGGGTTTTGCAAGCTTGTGGGACATTTCTTGTCAAAAAAGGCAAAGAGCCTCACTCTGCACAACCACAGTCACGGCAGGCTGGACCGGGAAGTTCACGGCTGTATGTATGTTTTGGAGTGGCAGGGAATGGTGCATACGTGATTCTGTGGCATGCATCTCTTCCCGAAATCAACTCAAGCCTATGCTCCAATTCTTCTAAAGATGCATGCTCTCGGCGACATGGTATTTCCGTTCTCACGAAGATGAGTGCCGTGTAAATCCCATGAGGAGGACCCGATGGCATTTTTTATAGGCCAGATAGCTGCTCCTCGAATTGGCCGCTCTTTGCGGCTTCTGCATGCGCTGGCGCACTTCTGCCACAGAAAGGCAGAGTGCAAGCCCCACGGCAGGTTCGTTCTTGTTGCGTATCAAGACACGCAAGGAGTTCGCAAGCTTGCCGGGCATCTGCGAGGCGGCGGACATGCAACTGAGACTGACCACACCTCGAGGCCTCCTAACGTCGGGGATTCTGGAGGGACTGGAGGTCCAATACTTTCGCTGCAGGTGCAGCCCCGTTCTGCAAGCTGTGTTGTCCCCAAACCGGCACGGGCACAGGCCCACAATTGTCATCAGAAGTTTTCCTTAATTTGATATGAGTTCTGTCCGACATGCTTGCATGCCAACCAGCCCAGAGCTAAGATTCTTGTCCGAGCAGCTCACAAAGCGGTCTTTGTCCATGTCTTGGCAATGCAAGCGCAGCAGACCGGACCGAGGGGGTCTGCTTTGAGCAGATGCGACCCGACCGGTGTCGTCGCCAACGCACAGGGGCTTTGTGCCGGGAGGATGCGCCGACGGCTCTCTGTGAGACCGAATCGTTTCCTAGAGCCGGTGGCCTTCCCCAACTTCTGCTTTCGCCGCATGAGTTCTAGAATGACGATTCCGATGTGTGCAGCGCGCAGGCTGGGAACTCCCTAAAGAACCGGTCGAAGCCAATGCACGGCTGAATGCCGGAGTCTACTGGGGGTGTAAGGTGGTTGCATATAGCCTTGAACCAGGCTTTTCTGGAAGCAAAGCCCATTTGTCTATCCCTGCCTTCTGCAAGGCCTGCAGGTCCCGCAGCCCAGCGATCGCATTTGCCAATTCTGTTCCACTGCGCTTGCTCAGTCGGACCAGTCGTGTCTGCGCGTCCTTGCCGCCGCAGGCCACTCTGGTGTGCTGGCGGCACGCTAAAATGCAAAGGCCTACCCCACTCCAGGCTTGTGTGTTTCAACCTACGCCAGAACCCTACAAGCTTGCCTTACGGGGAAGCATACAGGTTCGTTGCGAGGCCCGGGCACCTTTCACTGGAGGCAAGCAGGGTACCCAAGTTCTGTCCGACACGCCCGAGGCACCGTCCTGGTAGGCAGGACAGCCCGAACATTTACATGTCATTCATTCCAGAACCTCTTGTCCAAGTCGCGCAGGTCAGGGTTTCTCTCCACGTCTCTGCACCAGTGCAAGCGCGGCAGACTGGACTGGCGAGGTCTGCTATGAGCGGATGCGGGCCGGCCGGTGTCGGGCCGTCGTGTGTTGTTGCTTTCGAAGTCCTTCGCCAACTCACATGGACCCTGTCCCAGGAGGATGCCCCGACGGCATCTCCTTGAGATCGAATCGTCTTTCGTAGATCTGGTGGCCTTCCCCTCCTTCTGCTTCCGCAGTCTGAGTTCTGGCATGACGATGGGTGCAGGGCGCATCATGCTGGGAAATCCTTGGCCGTTGGTTGTGTCCTTGCCGTTACCTCTGTGGATCCTAGTCCCTGTCGGACGTGCTGGTGATGCATTTTGGCTTCGAAGAGGCCGCATGCTGGGTCCGGGGCAGGCTTCCATGTAAGCCGGCACCTGGGATTTGCAAGCTTGCCGAACATTTCTTGTCAAAAACAGCAAAGAGCCTCGCTCTGCACAACCACAGTCACGGCAGGCTGGACCGGGAAGTTCACGGCTGTATGTATGTTTTGGAGTGGCAGGGAATGGTGCATACGTGATTCTGTGGCATGCATCTCTTCCCGAAATCAACTCAAGCCTATGCTCCAATTCTTCTAAAGATGCATGCTCTCGGCGACATGGTATTTCCGTTCTCACGAAGATGAGTGCCGTGTAAATCCCATGAGGAGGACCCGATGGCATTTTTTATAGGCCAGATAGCTGCTCCTCGAATTGGCCGCTCTTTGCGGCTTCTGCATGCGCTGGCGCACTTCTGCCGCAGAAAGGCAGAGTGCAAGCCCCACGGCAGGTTCGTTCTTGTTGCGTATCAAGACACGCAAGGAGGTCGCAAGCTTGCCGGGCATCTGCGAGGCGGCGAACAGCCAACTGAGACTGACCACACCTCGAGGCCTCCTAACGTCGGGGATTCTGGAGGGACTGGAGGCCCAATACTTTCGCTGCAATTGCAGCCCCGTTCTGCAAGCTGTGTTGTCCCCAAACCGGCACGAGCACAGGCCCACAATTTTCAGAAGTTTTCCTTAATTTGATATGAGTTCTGTCCGTCATGCCGAGGCACCGTCCTTGTAGGCAGGACAGCCCGAACATTTACATGTCATTCATATCAGAACCTCTTGTCCAAGTCGCGCAGGTCAGGGTTTCTCTCCACGTCTCTGCACCAGTGCAAGCGCGGCAGACTGGACTGGCGTGGTCTGCTATGAGCGGATGCGGGCCGGCCGGTGTCGGGCCGTCGTGTGTTGTTGCTTTCGAAGTCCTTCGCCAACTCACATGGACCCTGTCCCAGGAGGATGCCCCGACGGCATCTCCTTGAGATCGAATCGTCTTTCGTAGATCTGGTGGCCTTCCCCTCCTTCTGCTTCCGCAGTCTGAGTTCTGGCATGACGATGGGTGCGACGTAGTGACGTAGTGTACCAGTACCGCCATCCTGGTACATCCAGAATCATCCAGAGGCCCAGAGAGGCTTTGTCAACCATTCCAGTGGACTCCTAGTCCGGTGGATGTGCACATGCTTGCGAAACGTGAGTGCTGGGTGCAGGGCAGCTGCGCCAAAGATGCGCGGCACACGTGCTTCTGCATGGGCGTCTTTCAGCTGCTTGGATTGACCTCCAAGCAGAACTTTGGGCGGCGGCATAGGGCGCATCATGCTGGGAAATCCTTGGCCGTTGGTTGTGTCCTTGCCGTTACCTCTGTGGATCCTAGTCCCTGTCGGACGTGCTGGTGATGCATTTTGGCTTCGAAGAGGCCGCATGCTGGGTCCGGGGCAGGCCGGCACCTGGGATTTGCAAGCTTGCAGGACATTTCTTGTCAACAACGGCAAAGAGCTTCGCTCTGCACAGCCACAGTCACGGCAGCCTGGACCGGGAAGTTCACGGCTGCATGCTCTCGGCGACATCGTACTTCCGTTCTCACGAAGATGAGTGCCGTGTAAATCCCATGAGGAAGACCCGCTGGCATTTTTTTGAGGCCGGATAGCTGCTCCTCGAATTGGCCGCTCTTTGCGGCTTCTGCATGCGCTGGCGCACTTCTGCCGCAGAAAGGCAGAGTGCAAGCCCCACGGCAGGTTCGTTCTTGTTGCATATCAAGACACGCAGAGGCCTCCTAACGTCGGGGGTTCTGGAGGGACTGGAGGTCCAATACTTTCGCTGCAGGTGCAGCTCCGTTCTGCAAGCTGTGTTGCCCCCAGGGGATCTCGCACACCGCTGCCCAGCTCGAGGTGGCAAAAGACAACATCACTAGATAGATCTAGCTTGATGGCTGCAAGCCGGCTTTGGAGGCGCTCTGGGTGTTGGTCTTGGCTTATATGTGCAAGGCACGGGACTCTCTCTCCGCCTTTAAGGGGCCGCTGAAGGTTTAGGAAAAACTCACGGGCAGTTTTCTTGCAGGCGAGCTGCATCAGCTTCATCACGCTCGAACCAGCCTGCTGGCATGTCCAGGCAGCTTACTTCGTGTTGCAGATACACGAGGCATGCAGCCCCCCGGCCCTTGGGCTGACGTGAGTCTCAACTCGACGCCACTTCTGGCAAGCAGTGATCTTCACCTGATGTCGGCCACACTCTTTCGAAGTGGGTACCTGCGCAGTCCGTCTCTTTGTGCGCCACATGTTTCTGAGTCTTCTCCGCGATCATGTTGTTTGGGCCTTTAGGCTTCAGAAGGCTGGCGTTCAGCACCGTTGGGTCCTGCAGACAGAAACTCGGGCTTGCGAGGATCGCCGAGCGAGCGATGCGCTGCCGGCATCTGCAGCCGCCCGACTTGGACGTCTCGGTGCTTTTCGGTGAGCGTTCTCTTCACAACTTGGCAGCTCGTCCCGCCTCCTCACACTTTTGTGGCCAGTAGGCCTTGTGAGGTTGGAAGTTGGCAAGGTCCACCGCCGCGCCTTCCCGCTCTCATATGGTCATTTCTTCAAGGGCGCTGGCCCTTTGCGTGCCGCTACACGCAGTTCCGTTGCTACTGCCGTGCTTGCCCCACGTTGCCGTCGTCGTTTTACGCCTTGGTGTGTGGCCTCGGACACCGACCTCGTCGGAGGCTTCAGCAAGCGCTTCGAGCCCGAAGGCCTACAGCGGAGGCGAGAGTGGGCCAGCACGCTGCCTTCTCAAGAATTGCCGAAGTTGCTCCACGTCGTGTGAGCAGCTCCGTTGAATCACAGAAGTTCTTCAGATTCTGCGGCTCTTTCGGCTTGCAAGGTGCAGTGGCGCCAGACACCTAAGCACGAGATTTTCTTGCAAACACAGCGGTGCACCTCGGCATTCACACGTGCTGGACGCCCGGGGAAGCCGACGCTACGGCAGCTGGAGCTCTCGTGCCGACACCTTGTGCCCTCCTTGCTGGTTACAAAACGTTCGCTTTCCAGGCGAGACCCGTTTGCTGATCTGGCCCGACACCTCGATGTTCACAGCTGCTGACCGACCTCGATTCGAGTTTCAACGGGCAGGCCAGTCCAGACCCTGCGAGAGAGTAAAAGGGCCCATTCTGCGTAATGGAGACTTACGCCTCGTTGGACTGTTCATTCTTGGTATGCAGAAGTTGCTAATGCCACTGTCGACATTTTTTGGCAGCAGTTCAAGTTTCCCGGTCAAACAGAGGCAACGTCCGGTAGTGGAGATTTCATGCGGAGGCCAGTTCTTCAGGTTTTCGTTCCCATTCATCTTGGGAGTCTCTATTGTTTTTGTTGGTTTGCCTTCTGCTTTTGTTTTCTTTGTGTTTTCTGTTTGTTTGTGCTTTTGCTGTTCTGCTTTTCAGCTTTTCTGCTTTTTTGCTTCGCGCTTCTTGGATCGACAAAGAAGGGGGCGGGTTGAAGAAATGTGATCAACCGGGATCGCCTCATGAGGGCATATGATCAACTGGGTTCGCCAAATGAGGAATCGGGATTGCTAAAGGAAGCGGCGTGTTTAAGATATGTGTTTTGTTTGCGGCAAGCTAGAGCAGCTAGAGGGTGTGGGGGTATTCAACCTCGTGGCTCTTGTCAGCCTTTATGCCAGGAAGTCGCATTCCGCACCTGTCGCAGCTTGCCCACCTCCACAGCTTACATCAGCCAACAATATTACAGCAATGTAGCAGATGCAACACCTTTCCTGCTTGCCAGCAGCCGGTTGGTAGTCCGAGGTAATTACGCTAGATCCGACAGCGACAAACGCAGCCGAGTGCTCGGCCCTCATCAAGTCCTTTGCAAAGCAATTTGATCTGTGTTGTCCGGGGAGCTTCCATGAATGGCAGAGTTTCATGCTCAGGGCGCTGTGAGGCTCGATGTGTCACACAGAACAGAACTAGTAGAGCCGGAGCAGCTGTTGTGAGAGGTTTGCGCGCTTGGAATTTTAGAAGGTTCCAGGAGACTCTGGCAGCGGCACCAGAGTGAGCTGCAAGAACCTACAAAGAACTTGAGCAGGGAAGGGACACTGCGCAGGCTGCACGGCTTCGGTCCTCCAGCTTCTCGCAGTGAATGAGGTGCTACCAAAGGCAATTGGAGCAGGTCGGTTTCAGGGTTGATGGGCTGTGAAATTCCAATTCCGCGCCAGGCACTCCCTGCTGCTGGCACCGACCTGACGGAACGCCTGCTCTCACGCAGGTGCAAAAGACTGCGGCGGGTGGATGGGGGAGAGTCATGGAGAGTTCTCGATTCGTCAGATAGCAGCAGCTTTTATCCATGTCCTGCTTCGGTCCTGCCAGGTGCAACTGTGCGACAGAGACATGATGGGATGGAGCAGCGGGAGATGGAGCAGCGGTTCTGAGGCGCTTTCGTCCCTCCATCCTACTGACTGGCCACGCTGGCCCTGCTTGAATATCAGAAGGCAATTCCCGATGGTCATTCCCGACTTGTTGCGAGAAGGGCACAACAGGTTCCACACATACCGTGTGGCTATTGCTTGCCGCAGGTCTAGCAGCCAGACGAGCTAACTGCAGGTGCAAGATACTTGGATGTGAGTTTGCTCAGTCAACAACAGCAAAACTGGCTACCATATGCTTGATTAGCAAGCAGTCGCTGATGGGATGAACTGGCACCCGAGGTCAGTTCGTAGTTCATTCTCTTGCTTATGCAGCCTTGTCGGCATACAGCTCGACGGACGTCGGCCTTCTTATCAGACAGCCCAAGGCAGACGGGTGGAAATCGGATGGATCACTCTGATTCCGCTTTTTGTGGAGCCAGGTGAGACTAAGAGTCTCATGCAGGTTCGCGCAGCCTGGGAGTGTTCTGAGGAAGCACTGGCGGCTCCTGTTGCCACGCTGCAAGTCGAGGGTTTTGCTGTGTGTCTCGGCCTATCTTGGCCAGCAGCAGGCATCGCCTAGCGATGCGGCAGAGGCGGAGGTCCTTCGCGTGAAGATCTCTCCCGGATTGTGACGTGCAGAAATCCTTCGATTGCCCTGAGAGGCCGCCAGGCCGAACCTGTGTGTCGTTTAGGGACCCTTTGCCTTCACTTACTGTAGGCTTAGCCATGCTCTCACCCTTCACTGCCGCCAAAAGGAGGATCTTCGTTTCCCCTCCTTGGTGCAGCAGGGCTTCTCTCCACCGTTCGCCGGACGATTTTACTGGAATCTCCCGAAGAGGCTTGTCCCAGGTGATTTCCACGAAGTCAGTAGCCACGAGGCCAATGCTGTCCGAGGGTTTTGTTGGCGTTTGTGTCGTGTGCCTTCACCTACTGCTGGCTGTTCCACGGCGAGGATCTTCGTTTTAGAGGGTCATTAGCGGACCTCCAAAGGCTGAGGACAAAAGCTTGGGAGGTTTTCAGGACTTGCAGCAAGCACTAGGTCGTGCCCTGCAAGTCGTGCAACCCTGGACTCGGGGTTGCATGCCTTCGAAGCAACCTCGTCTCTGCTTGGCGCATTCATGAAGCCGCAGGGCTCAATGCGGAGGACTGGGAAATGCTCAGCGCAGCACTCTGGGCATTGCCCGGCTTTGCGATGGATGCTGCTCATTTTTGGGCGTCTCGCGGCTGCGGCGTTCGGTCTGACGCCCGGCCTGAAGGCCCGGCTCGTAGCAGTAAGACTCCTGAAGCTTCGCTGGAGCGAACCGCACGCCGCACGTGCAGTTGGAGTTGTGGAGCTTGCAGATTCCTAGCACCAGCGGGCCCCCCAGGATGTGCAGTGAATGCTTGATGCAGGCTTGCGGATGCTGGGACGTGATTCGGCACCTTCCCAGGGCAGACGGAGGTCTGCCAAGCATCGGCTCAAAGGGCAGCAGCCAGTCCTAACTTGGGAGGAATTGTAGGGAGCCAGCCTCAGTTCACGGCTCAAGATATGTGACAGTATGTGGGATGAGTGCCCTTACACAGGTCGTAGGAGAGATACCTTGGTGCAGAAGGCCTGGCTTCTTTCACCTCGAAAGACGCTTCAAAGGCTTAGGCCTGAGGCCTGCTCGCGAAGGCTACAGGGTGCTCTCCCAAAACCCAACCCCGGGCGGCCAGATAAGTTAGGGGATAGTTCTGAAACATCTTGAACGCCTAATGGCCGGTCTGGCGGAGATCTGCGGCACATGCCATGAGTGTCAGTCAGACCAGCTTTGATGTCGCTTCTGGGCAGCTCGCAGGGCGTCCTTGCCTCCACCGTGCAGCTGTCAAGCTGAAAGCACCCGATGGAGCAGCTGGATGTGCGCTTGCCTTGGATGAGTTGCCGACGGTTGCCCGAAGTATTCCGAAGTGTTTTGCTCATAGAGCCATAGGCTATCAGAATTTCCAGGGACAGCCACGCAACACGAATATGACCGTGGACACTGACACTCTATGATCTGTGTATATCTGTGTCCTTCACTTCGAAATTTTGCAGAGCAGAGTTCGGGGGTTTGCAGTTTACCAAGCGAGTGTAGCCGACCTGCCACGGCTCTTCCGCATAGTGGACCTTGCTGCACCTCTTGGGCCAGGACAGGTCACTGCACTAACCGAAATGCGTGACTTCGCTGCAAGTCTT